ATTCTGTCCTATAAAGAATCGTTCCTTGTTTGCATCCATCCTGTAAGTTACTGCCATCTTTTGGTCAAAAGTACCTACTATCTCTGGAAGCTCAACTTAAATATAGTTTCTGTCATTTTCACAGGGGGATTTGTAACCCGGTATCAAAGACTGCAGCTAGGGAAGCTGAGATAGGAGCTGCATTTCACTGATGTGAGATCAGTTATTAGATCTTATACATTATTATACACATGTCCACACACATGTGAAAACACGAGGGAATATTTGCTACTAAGCAATCAAAGTGCACTGCCGTTGATCATCTGATCAGGTAAGTTGTCTCTTATCACTTTGGCTAACATGTGTGACGTAGAGGAAAGTTGAAGATATTAAGGCTCAGTGCAGCAAGATATAGGAGATAATAAAAGTCATCCAGGACAAAATCATTAAAAATCTTATATGTTTTAATCAGCTCCAATCTGTCATGTTAGTGGAACAGTGTTGGATCTTTTTTGTTTTGTGTCTATTTTAGGGGAGGAGATCATCTTCTTTGCTTGCCTTTCAGCAAAAGCCATTATATGATACTGCCTTAAACTTATACATTTTTCTTCAGATGGTGGCTGTGCCTCAGGAGTTAGAGCAGTTCATCTTCTATTTGTAAGGTTGGTGGTTGAAACCCTGGTTGCTCCAGTCTGCCTGCCAAAGTAAAATGCTAAAACCTATGTTATTCCTGATGTGTTCATTGGAGTATGAATGTAAGATAGAAAGAACTTTGACATAGAAACAAGTGCTTGTGTTAAAGGGCGAATGAGCCTCAATGAGTTCTCAAGTACAACAGAAAAGTGCCATATAAGAGCCAATCCATTTATCAGATAGATTGATAAGGGTCAAATGATGGCAGCATAAATTATATGTAAACCAGCCTGTGTTATAGTTATCATAAAAGATAATGGTACTGCACTGCACCTGAATGCACTCCACTTTGAGGATGAACTTGGGCACCACAGGTGGGATATTAGACTGATAGAAAATGGTGTGAGTGACACACTGCAACAGAGGCTCCACAGGAGTCACACAATGCATGATTACACCCCGGCCCAAGAAAGTTTGGTCAAACAGCAGAAATACTATTCCTGGGCCAACCTGAAAGATAAACATGTAATATTAGCACAATTTAAAGTTTTCAACTTTTCCTGATAAGCATATCTATACACTTAGGGTTCATTCATTTAGTCAGATTCACTAGCAGTTACTCTAGTAAAAATGTATTTTGCATCATTTAACATCAAGCCTTATTTCCAGATAATTAAATGCCAAAAGCATCAGTCTGTTCATGAGAAATTAATGCTTGAAAAACACATTTACATGCATGGTTAAGCTCAATAATGCCTGCCTCTCATATTATATTGTTGCCGATCTCCCACTGCTGGCCACAGTAAACATATCCTGCTTCCAACATTTGTGTTGCGTGTAAATGATCCAGCTCCCTCTGCAGCCTTGTGGTTAACCTAGGGAAATTAGTGGTTTCAGACTACACTTGCATATCATTTTTTTACTCACGGAGCAAGGCAAAAAGTCACACTGTGGTGTGTTTTTTGCTTAAGCAAAAACGATCATTTTTCTCAGGCTGATCAGGCCAGTGATGTTCGACATTAGAGATTACAGGAAGCTTTGTCAAACCCGGTTTTGTTACAACGCCGGCAGCAAACTGTACTGTTACTGCACTGTGAAACATAATGTTTATTGTTGAAATGTACTTCTCATCAAATTTAAAAGGACACTTACAGATCAAGCATGATTTATTTTGGTTATATCTAGTTTGAATAAAATTATAGACAAGACCAGTGATTTGTGCCAGTTTAATGTACAATCAATCATAGGGAATTGTTTACAAATGGCATTCCTGGTGTACTGTACCTGTCTCGCCACAACAGAAACATCCAGAAGAGGCCAGTGGCATCCAAACACTCTAAGTGCATGTTTCACAAACATCTGAGAACAATGCCTGTTAGGCTCTGACTCTGGTTTCCAGTCAACCTTCAAGATACACAGTGAAAAACAGTGTCAAAATCAAAAGCAGGTATAACAGTGAACATATTCACCTTAGTGGATAATGGGAACATCAAATTTAGTTTAGTGTTTCCAGTTTACCTTCCAGTCATGCTGCACAAATTCCCAGATTTTGCTATTGGTGTAACGTAGATCTGCTCCACTGAGCATGCTTGGAGTGTGAAGGTGCGACAAGTGAGCTATGTCTGCTGCATTTTCTGGAATCTCCTACACAGAAGAGAAGACAACTAGTTATTAGCAAAAAATAAAATGCTAGCATGTGGTATATTGTTTCTGTCTGTTGGTTTTCTAAGATGCATGTAAAGTCCCTTAAATATATTCAAAGATTGCAAGAAAGAACATGTATTGACTATACTGCATGAAATGCATAAATGCCTTGCTGTCATGTTTCGGCTGTGTGCAGGCAAGAGAAGGACCCAAACGCAAAACTCACCGAGACAAAAATGAACTCAAAACACTGCTTTATTGCAGGCTTGGAAAGGAAACAAAGAACAAAACTAAACTGGGAAAACTACAACTAAATCATACATGAAAACACAGGGAGACTCACACAGCTATGAGGGAGGACGCAACACTGACAAAGAGAAACACGGGGCTTAAATACACTGAGGGATAACGAGGGGGAATGAGCCACAGGAGGAGAGCACAGCTGGGAGTAATTACGCAGGACGAGACAAGGGAAGCAAAACTAGAAACATTAACATAGGACAGACTGTGAAAGTAAAACAGGAAACACACTGACGGAACTCAAAACATATAAACTTAGCTGACTGTGGAGACAGAACATAGAGACCTGAAACATGGGACAGAAAGGCACAGTAGACATAATGACGCCACGGGGGAAGAGTAAAACAAAAACACAGAAGCACAGGACCTCTTTCAAAATAAAATAGGAAACAATGAAACACTGACATGACTACATGAACTTGACAACATAAGAAACAGACATGAAGCACATGAAGGATAAGGGAGACTTAACACAAGGGTTGAAAACAAAAGGGGAATATAATAAGCAAATTAACATAGAAAACCTAATGAGCTTATCATACACTAAAAACATCAAAATGAACTAAAGCTCAAAACGCTGGGTCATAAGACCCAGGATCGTGACACCTTGCTATACTCTAGAGATATCTTAGTATTAGCACAAGCGTTGTTTTAGGGAGATGAAAAGCTTGTAGCTTTGCTTCTGATCAGAACCAATCCGAATAAATATCAACAATGCATGGTTCTTTCCAGTGTGTGAGGAGTGACCATGAAAAGGAAACTGATGCTAAATTGAAGGTAACTGATGTACAGATGGATATAGAAACACTGCCCTAAAGACAGTGTACACTACAGACATACAAATCATTAGAAGATAGATTAGTTTTTTGTCACAACATATATTTTATTTATAGAGTGACTTGGAATTCCTTATGGAAGCTTGCTTCTGCCACTGAAAAACATTATGTCATTATATCTTTAATGTCTTTATATCTTTTTGTCACCTATCTCTAATAGGTGCCAAACAGAGAAGATACAAGAGAAGATACAAGTTTCCATACATTTCCACTCAGACGTATGAACCATACCTGTATATGAGCATTAATAAAATGCTCAGTTCTCCCCCGATAGACCCACTCATCATTTGTGATCTCCGGTTGCTCAGGGACGATCCACTGAGGTCCTTCTCCATCACAGTGAAACCAAACCAAGATTTGCTTGTTGACCTCACAGGTGGGCCAGCTGCGCACGCTGGCAAAATCAGGCACTGATGGACAAATAAAACCCCAAACTAAATCACAACCCCTTTAATCAGGATTTACTCTATTCTGTACACCTGTGTCAGTTAACATCTGACCAATAACATCCAATAACCAATAATCATAACCAATCCAATCCAATAACTAATAACTGACCAATAACATCTGACCCTGGTCTATTTACTTCTAAGTTTATATAATATTTTAAGCCATTGGCTAAGCATATTCATGCACATCTGGAGATTAAACTGCCATCAGTTTCAGATTTGGACCTAATATTTATGAAGGCTTTAAATGTCTTCTCATTACAAATCGTAATGAAATGTTATAAAATAGTGATTTTTGTTTCTTAGCGAGCATATTATCCAAACATTGAAGGTTACTTAGCACTGTGACATAACAATATTGTAGGCCATTTACTTACCTTTTTCTGCATAGGGAATCTTCACACATACACCATTATCCCCCTGAAACTGCCATCCATGAAATGGACACTCGATGCAGTTCCCAAACACCCGTCCACCCACAGCAAGGTTGGCACCCAGGTGAGGGCAGTAGGCATCCACCACATAGGCCTTTCCATCGTGGCCCCGAAACACTGCTACCTGCTCACCTATGATTATAAGCAGAGAAAGGTTTTAACACTGGGTTTGTGAACTGTCACTAATGGGCATAGTGGATAACAGTACTGTGCCAACTGTAGTTTTTGTACAGTTTTATCCAAACCAGACCAGTGTTTGCATATTTATTGTACAGTTCAAGAGAAAGGAAAAACAAACGTGCATTCTTTGCAGCATATTCCCTTTTCCCCCGTGCTTCTTAGTATGTTCCTTAGTGCCCTACTTGAAGCAATATAGCTAATTGTAGACAGCACTTATTAACAAAGAAACACACACATTTTCCAAGAAACAATCCAACCCATACACAGAATTAGTAATTATTATGCCAGATTTTACATTTTATAATGCACGGCTTTGTGTTTCTTAAATTATTTCATTAACAATTAATGCCACTCATAGAAGATTTGTATGATCTTTGAAATTATTCTGATGAGCTTTATTTTGTTTGTTGAAACAAAATCAAATGCAGTTGCATCAGAATTACTGCGGCACAAAATTTTAAATGACTGCATTGTATCATGTCACATCCAGAGCGGTGCACACCTATTATGGTCAAATGGCGTTCCTAGTGGAGGTCTTCTTGGAAAGTGCTTCCTGTGGTGCATGTCTAAATTGACACCAGATCAGAAGATCTCTTCCTACTGTCTTTGCTGGATTTGGCTGGATTTTTAGCTCTGTCGTGCTCAGACAGCACTCAGGTTGGTGCAAGCTGAGCAACTGTAGTATAGAGTGACAGCTGAGCAAGCTCTACTAGTGATTAGTCAGGGTACTAAAAAAATCTGAGACACCAAATAATCCAAATGAAGGGTGACACAGCACTGCACTGCTGCCCCCAGACTGTTGGGAGAGCAGAATTTAACGACACTACAGAGAACTGCACGGTGGAAAAGACACACTCAGCAGAATTTAATATGTGAATGCATTACTGCAGAGAAAAGTTAGGAGGGAGACACAGCAGGATGCAGATCCTGAATGGGTGCCAAGCTTTTTTGGGGTCAAAAGAATTTGGGGGAGTAAAATGTCAGGGGCTACAGGGAGAACTGAACCTAGAAGATATAGTGAGCAAGAAAGCAGAAAAGAGAAGTAAGTTAGAAAAATAAAATATATCCAGTGTGAATTATGGGTAGAAAAATGTGTATGTTATCTAGAGAAAAACAATCTGTATGCTTCTTATTATGTTTTCCAACATGCTGACACACCCTGGTGGGTTTCTGGCAACTTCTCAAATTGGCAACCACTGCTCTGTATCACACTTGCAGTGTGTAAGAGGTCTAATAACCTGCCACACTTGTACTCACAGTAAGATTCCCAACGTGTAGAAAAACCAATCAGTCAACATGCATCTACTTGAGCAAACTTTTAGCTACAAAAACCTTTCAATTGCTTATCTTTTTTTAGCATATATACTTTCCAAATTCTCTTCAAAGCCTCTTTCACTCGTTACCTCTAGCTAGTATTCAGCTTTTTGATATCTTTATGTTTGCAAACCTTGCAATTACTTCTTTTTCTTATGTTATAGACATGAAAAAAATGTGTTTTTGTTTTTTAAAGAGATCATTTAAATGTACCAATGTGTTGGTTTTTGTTATTTGTGTTTCAAAATAAAAGCACCCAGTTAATGAAATGAAATATTTTCAAAATAAACCTCAAGGTAGTTTTAGGGAATCAGCATATCTGATATATCATATATATCAGATATCATATATATATATATATCATATATCAAATATCAAAATATGGAGCTCCTCATGACATGTGAGCTTTCAATGTGTGTTTTCAAAACAAAGTTAAGTAATTTCAAAATACTGTTTTTAAAAATATTGCCTTTTTTTTTTTTAAACTATACTATACAGTTTAAAATGTTTTTTATTTTTATTTTCAACTGTCATGATTGTTTTCATGTATTTTCCAGTGAAACATAAAAGTTCATTCCCTTTTTTGAAGGAATGAAATTCAACTCAGTTATTTTCGTTTTGTTTTTGTGCAACAACTTTTGTGCTTTACCTGGATTAATTCTAATGATCTTTTTTGCAATGCAATGCATTTAAGTTGGTTCAGCAAATTGACTTGGGATTTAAGTATTCTAGCAATACAAGCTAATGCGATGGAAATGCATCTTGTAGTTTGTAATGTGATTCTCTGTTATGGACAGGGTTAAAAAATAATTGCACAGTCACAACGTGTTTGATCATTTCTGATATTGGTGTTATGGTATTCCTTTTAGTTACTAGTCCCATAAACATATACAGAGTGCCAGTCATAGAGACTATGATGTCAGTTCACTTTTGGGTGCAATTCAACTAGAGGTGACACTCTCTTCTGATAAAACATGTTTACAAATGATAAATATAACAGATGTAAGGGGATTAGTTAAATCACAGCAGACAGCATTGGAATGTATAAAATGTCTGTGGTGGTTGATATCAGGTGGTGTTTCAAATGAAAATAGTAGCTGCTATAACGTGCACTGTTCCAAAAAATAGCAATGTCAAAGTATCTTACTGTATATTTTACAGTTTTGTACTGTCTTTCTAGAATATCATTAAATTTACATAAGTAGACTGTGATTGTACATGTCAAAGGTAAAATAACATAACATCACTGTAACTATAGTAAAACACAATTTACTTGTTTTTTAAATATATTTTTTTGTACATATGCATATTTAGATTGTTAAAATACATTCACAAATGTATCATGATTTCACAAATATCTGTCCGTTATTTGAAAGATTGAACCGTTGAATTCAAATGTAATGCTATAGAAAAGTATATAAGATGATTCCTATAAGCTTGTGTTACATCACATAAGTATTATTATCATTGCTATTTAGGGCCATCGTGGCTCAAGAGTTGGCAGTTCGCCTTGTGATCAGAAGGTTGCCGGTTCGAGCCCCAGCTCGGACACTCTCGGTGTTGTGTCCGTGGTCAAGACTCTTCACCTACTGGTGATGGCCAGAGGGGCCGATGGTGCGATATGGCAGCCTTGCCTCTGTCAGTCTGTCCCAGGGCATGCAATCAATTATTATTTAAATTAACTGTATATTTCTGTACATTTACGTATTATGATTCATATTGCCACATTCATTGACCTTGTTTATAGGT